GAAATACTTCATAATAAAAATTGATTTTTCATCAAATAATGGTCTACGAATTTTTCAGGATTAGAGGAAGAAAACAATGGAGATAATCGTCTATGAAATAGATTCCGAAATGTACAATCATGCCAAGGAGAAACAGATGGTAAGGTGGGAACGTCAACAAGTGTCTTGGCACGTTTGAACAGTTTTTCAGAGCGATGCTTTCTTGCCGGCACGATGCTTTCTAAAGCTCACTCCGTTCTCACGCGATGCGGCCAGGAAATTGTGGACTAGTGTCCTAGTAACTTGGCCGAAAGTTTAATTTCACGAGCGACAATCGAGCGTGTCGTTCGAATAAATCACGCTCGACTTCTTGCTTTATAAAGCGCGTTTCCCCCGCTGTCTTCATGCAGTTCATAAAATAATGTGTGTTTATTAGTATGACAGCTTCTCCGTACTGTTCTAAATGTAATTTCAATTCATACACTGTAATGTCATTAATGTCTAATCATTGTTTGATGTCCTAATTGTACAATAAATAATACAATACAGATATAATATTCTAATGCTAATTCAATTTCCTTAGTTAATTCATTAGGGAACAAAACAATACATTTCACCTATTTAAAACATTTCTGATGCAACATTAGTTTAAGTGGATAGCCTCATATGTATGTTACAAAATTCAACAACGTACAAGAATTCTTGTTAAATGATAGCACGTCCAACGCTATTTTTTTTATAATTGATTTAATTACTTTTCGGACGTACATAACAATTTTTGATATAATTCTAATTAATTCCTTCCTGGGTTTATTTCGCTCTCAGCCTGTTTAAAAACCATGTATCGTCGGCGTACATGATTGAACCTCTCACCTCTCAGAATGGATTAAAAAAAAATAAAACAGATTTTTAATCAGTATGTTTGCCATAGTCATCCGTACTAGCATTAATCTTGAAAATCATAATTAATCTTCATAAAAATACGAATGCTTAAATGGCAATAAATTTTACTTTTTTATCAGTAACATTTTGGAAAAAGAAGAATAAACTCAACGTAAAAATATAATTTTGGTACCGGCGAAACAATATATGTAACCTGCGGGGAATAAATGTAAAGCAAAAGTAATGCAATGTCCGGCACAAAGCGACTGGAAAACCGAATGGAGTGAATGATACTACGTGTTTTATTACTCCCCGACTACTGTCCTTCACTTCACTTACTCTATTCTCTATACACGTAGGAATCCTTACAGGACGAAAACTTGCTGTTTCGCAAGGAACTTTGCTGAAACGCAAGGGTGTGCACTGGCGATACCGTATCGAGAATATTCCGGCCACGTGTTACCAATACCCATACTGTTTTTATCTATCGCGCCGACAATTAAAGGAGAAAGTGTTCCGGCCGAGCACACTACATACTATGCTACTCACTACCGACGATCGAAAAATCGGATTTAGTGTAACGATTATGACAACGAAACCGAAGATCCGATAATACGAGTAAACTAGAAGAATTTCAAACCAACTACAGATCAAGAGAAAAGAATGCAATAGGACGTGTCGACAGAACAGATTCATTTTAACTAATCGGTACAGCTAGTTGACTAATTTGAAGCATGGTAAGATAAGTATTTAATATCCCTAAAACATTTGATGTTTCCTAAAGTATTTAGTATTCCTAAAACATCAGACGTTTTGAAGAACATAGTCCATTTCTCTCGGAGTTACCTTATTTGTATATTTCAATCGTCTTGAAAATCTGTTATCGAATAAATACTAATTTTTGTTCGCCGATTATATCCTTTATCAATCAGCATTAATTTCATTCCACGCTCATGAAATTGCAATCGTTTACCTAATCGTTATATTGATTAACAGCCAAAACATTCCAAGCATAATTCAAACATCCACGGGAAGCTTGATGTTCTATTAGTAGTTTCTAGTTTGTTAATTTATAAATTGATGCTCCACTTTGAATAATTGATCTGTTGAAAGTAATCTAGTAATGCACATGCCGATTTTTTAATATTGTTCCAAAATACGTCAAAAATTTTATCTAATTATTATCTGTTCAGAGATAATCCTAATAATTATTTAACTATTAGTTAAGGCATTGGGTCAAGCGTTATCAATCGCGAAGGAGAAAAATTTAATGGAGTCACAGATGCAGAATGGCGAACGTTGTCGCGCTGTTTGATTAAAGAATGGGCAGTGACATTATTCCTAGAAACAATACTCCCACCAGTGTAAATGTCATTTGAATTTTTTAATCAATATCGTGCATTGCCGTGATGAAAAGACTGTCGCACAGATCACCTGAACCGTTTAGAATGTATTTGCAACTTTTCCGGACGCCGACGAGAACGAACGAGAATTCACTTTTTTCAATGAACGATTCCATTCGTGAAACGAGTATGCCTTACAGAGAGTGCATGCAACTGCTGATATTGAGCCGCTGCGCTAGAAACTAAATACTATGACTATGCATATCGAAAAGGAAAAAGTCGATAGTTTGTAATGACGATTCTACGAAAACCTGTACATCTCTGATCTGTGTTTAATGCGTAATGAAATCCGTTTTACGTTAATATTTATGTAATTA